TTAATTCTTTTAACACTAAATTTAATTTATCTTTGTATTTCAAAAGCTGTGTAATACCGTCATAAAGAGAGTTCCACCGAGTAGGACATGGATATTTCAGTGAACAATTTAATATAGTATGGATGATTTCTGAAGATTTTGGTCTTCGTGACAAATTCCAGAGTGTTGTACATTTACCCATAACAGAATGGTTGATTCTAGATGCTGGAGTCCCTTTTAGAATTTTGTTAAAATCTGTAGTCGCAATAAGACTCAATGTGTGACTTGCACAGCGTAAATGATGAGGCAAAAAAATTTCAGTTTCTTGTGTCATGGTGTCATCTACATCGATACTTTCAAATGTAGCCACATCGTCATCAGTACTTTCTTCTTCGTCTGCATTTTCTCTATCATCTACAAATTCAAAACAATTTAATTAAAACAAAAACCATAGGTACACCATGTATAATATATTTATATATTTTTTCATACCATTGAATTCTAAATCATCAATTTGGAAATTCCAATCTATTTCACAACCAAAATCTTTAAATGCTTTTACAAAATTTGAACCGTTGTCGGTAACAGTTGAAATCAGCTGTTCTCTTTCAATTGAAAACTCGCATATTATTTCATGTAGCAATTCAGCAATTTTGTCATATGTGTGAGAGCCACGAAATCGCCTGCAGGCTAATACACAACTTAAACGAGTTAATGTGTTTTCATCAATCTAAAATATATTATAAATATCATAGTAAATGTATTAGTTTATATACTAAAATAAAAATAAAATGTACCCAATGTGCTGTGACTCCCATAAATGATTTGTGTTTTGATGACCAAATATCAGCTGTTGTACATACACTAGGTCTTGGATCAGATTCAAAAACATTTTTTAATTTTTCACAAATAAATGTGTAATTTTCTAGAATGCGACGGCTTAATGTTCTTCTCGAAAATATTTTTAAAGTACCATCAATATCTATTGAATTATTAGAAAGAAACAAAAAGTTATGAGTTATAGCCTTATAGGATTAATTTTCTGGACTGGTAAACAATATATGAAGGCCATAAAATAAATTACATTTAAAATAAATAACCATTTACATAAAATATAATTAACATAATATTAAAAATGGTACCGTGAAAAAATAACTATACAAATACTGAAATACAATATGTCAATGCTTAATATACTAACCTTTAATCATCTTTATAAAATGTTCGTCTTCAACCGTTGATAATGGCTTCATGCTACAAACAACATAATTTACAATATTTGTATCAAACGTTTTTTGTTTGGACTCGTTTTTTTGATGATCGCTAAAATACAAATTTAATTTCTGTTGTTTATGCATGTTTGGGTTTGAATCATTTAATTTTCTTTTTGTACCACGACGTTCGTTAACAGTAGATTTAATATAATTCTCAAATTCTTCTAGAACATTACTGTGAATTCTCTGAAATATAAAATAACATTATAATAATTAATAAATACTAATAAAGTAATAAATAAATAATAAATAATAAATATTAATAATTAATAAATTTACCTTGATATGAAGGCGAAAATTAGAAGTGGATCTTAATGTGCCGCTATATTCTTTTTTGTCATCATTGCAGAGAACACATTCTGCTTTGATATTTTCATTTTCCATTGTCGGTAGTTTTTTTATTTTGAAATATTTTCCATCCAAAATGAGAGGAATAAACAAATTATTTGTAATTTCAGACATATTAATATTATATTACATACAATCTGACTCAGTACTCAGTATAATAAAGGCAAACGATCGTCACATAGTGACTCACAGTCTGCAGAACACCAGGTGTGTAGCCGGCAGTGTTTGTGTAAAAATCTAATCTACTAATTTTATCGTGTTCATTACCTACTTTATCGCGAAAGGTGTAGGTACTATTACATAGTAGAAAAATAAGGTACAGTCTTACAGACGTAAAGTCCAATTCAAAGTACGCGTGTAACATAATATTATATATTTATATTTTATATACAACCATTACACCACTAACTTTTCAAAAGTGGTTTCTGACGAGTAAAAATAATCGTAAACAATTAATTTTTCAAAGTATCGCATTAATGTATCTAGTATCTTTCGATTAAATTAATTCAAGAAATACTCGATACATTGACTAAAAATGTATCGCGATACAAGATACTCGATACTTCACATAATTGTATCGAGATACAAGATACAAGATACAAATGTATCTAAGATACGTATCTTAGATACTTGTATCGAAGATACTGCCCAACCCTGGATATTGAACACCGCCCAGGGTCACGCATGCAGCATGTTGATGCCGGGCTTGGTAAATTGAGTCCCAAATGACCCTAACTCGGTAAATTGAGTCCCAGGAAAAAATAGGTAGTAGGTAAGTTGAGTAACGGGAAAAATAGGGTAGTTGGTAATTTGAGACGCAGGGAAAAACGAATTATATGCATTTTAAATTTGCTAACATTATTTGTGATTTGTGGACATTCATTAACTATTTATTTTGAAATAATAATTATCAATTATATAATTATATTTTTCCCCAACGATACACTCTTAACAACACCAAAGCATTCACAGTCAATAAAAGTCGATAACTTTGTCGACCTTTGATTAAACGCAATTAAGATACCGATAAGTAAGGGCTTGATCGTATGTAAATACTATACGTATATATATACGTATATGACGGTATCTTACTATGATATGAATGCACGATATTATCTGGACTATTTCATTATTAGTCTTAATGTTATAAACTTATAACCCGATTTGAGTTTATTAAATCAAGTTTGAAGTTTTTACCAAGGCATTTATTTTTTTATTTTTTTGGTTAATTTGTATTTATAATATTTTTAATCTATATAAATCTAAATATTATATCCTTATATAAATAATATTTATTTACTAGCATTTTTTTTCCCGGGACTCGACTTACCTACTACCTGCTTTTTCCCAGGACTCAATTTATCGCTTTAAAAATGTACCAAACTTATCTCGGACTCAATTTACCTGCGTTGATGCGCTAAGTCGTTGTAGGCAGGTAATGGTGTTAGAGGCTTGAACGTTCAATTAAACTCTTGCCATTAAACAGAGAACTGACCCAGATATTAAATCAATTTTTGAATATCTTGAGAATTCAGAACACCCGTTATTCGAACTTCGTAATAAGACTTGTATACCGTAAGAGTAATGATCGGTTACTATTCTACGTTCCAGCTGATATGTGTGAACAAGGGTCTTGTCATGATGAAATCTGCCACGTAGGTGAAGACGAAACAATTGAATTGATTAAACAAATATACTGGTTCCCAAAGTTAATTGAATGCGTTAAAAAATATACAAGTAGTTGTCTTAAATGCATCATATTTTCCCCAAAAGAAGGTAAGAGCGAAGGATTGTTAAACTTGATTGATAAAGGGAATAAACCATTTCAAACTATACATATTAATCAATTTGGCCCCATTAACCAAACTAAAGGTCGATTTAAACATATTTTGGTTATATTCGACGCATTCAGTAAATTCTTAACTTTATATCCTGTTCCAGCGTAGCAGCAAAAGAAACTTGTTCAAAACTGTCTCAATATTTTAAATGTTACAGTAAACCTTTTAAAATTATATCTGACCGAGGATTTTGATTCCACTCAGAGATATTCCAAGACTTTTTCCAAATTCATGATATTAAACATATAAAGGTTGTAGTAGGTTCAGCATCATCGAATGGTCAAGTAAAAAGATATAACAGGGGACTAGCAGTAATGTTATCTAAGTTAATGCATGAGCATAATAATGATTGGAATGAATATCTATATAAAATTAAATTTGCAGTAAATAACACGATTAATCACTCAATACAAAATACACCTAGCAAACTTTATTTGGCATTGACCAAGTTGGTGAACAAAATGATTATATAAGACTTTATCTAGATGCAGTTAGTGAAGCGTGTGGTGTTGATGGTAACCCCCGTGACTTAACAAAGTCCAGGATCAATGCTCAAGGCAATATTCGGATGGGCCAGCTCATAACAAGTAGCTTCTAGGTATGAAGTAGGTGACTATATAATGGTTAGGAACGTTGACACTATGCCTGGTATATACTTGTAAACAATTTTCACCTAAATTCAAAGGCCCTTATAAAATAAGTAAGACACTTCTTCATCATAGATATGCATATCTGATATCGAAGTGCACCAGGTGACTCAAAATCCCCTAAACACTATTTATGCAACAAGAGATATTAAACATTGGATTAAAGTAAGTTGAATCTGATTAACTAAAAATTATTATATTTTAAAATGTATTAAAACTTGTGTTGTGTATTTTTTTTTATTCTATAAAAGTAACAGGTACTTATATTTGTTATGTTTGCTATGTTTGTTTAAATAATTATGTATTTTTTTTGTTGTAGTCATATATTGTAAAAAAAAATGTACAGATAGAGGACGATCTAGTCAAATATGGCCGAGCTGTAGTAATAAGCTAATGACAGCGGCGGCATCTGATAACTCTGTAATTTATTTCTTTATAAGCGATGTTAGTGATAACGTGTTATCGTCGTTCCAAAGACGTTGTAACAACTCGAAACCCAAACAAAAATTCCACCCATAAGAAATATACAGCGAATAATTTGGAAATTAATTAATTAATTAAAATAAGTATATTTTACACACAATTTTCGGTGCATAATGTTCACCGTAAAAAGGTGAATTATAAAGTTATTCGATTTAAACTTAATTCTTTTGTAATTTTAAATTTACTAAAGAAATACATTTGGCGGGAAAAAAGTTCAATTACAAATGTACACTATAAAAAAAAACAATCTAGGATATAAATAATACGTAATGATATATTGCAATTTTACATAATATTATATTCCTTCTAGTTTTCGGAAATCATTAGGCATGGATATCTATGTATCTATATTTAATATTATGATTATTTTTTAGTCTATAATCATTACACATTTATTTACATTTACTCAAGTAGTGAAGTCTAAAGCCTTTTCATTTTTACTTAATTGTTGTAATTATTTTTTACTGAAACGTATATTATATTTTATTATTTATAAAAGAATTAATATGGGTTACTGTTGGGCTGTTGGATGTAATCATCACAACCAAAGAGAAAAGTGTAAATTTTTTACACTTCCTAAAGATACAAAATCTCGTAACAGGTGGTTAAAATTACTTAAGTAAGTTTTTTCCTCCTATGTATTGTATTACAAAATGATAATATATTCCAAATGGTACCAATCTGTACTTAATGTAAAAAATTATAGACGAAGTGACCAACCTGGTCGTGGATGTGTTGTTTGTAGTTGTCATTTTAAAAATGGACTTCGAATTAATGGTCCGGAGTTGCAAGAGCACTTAAAAAAGGCTTTTGTCAGTGATTTTCCAACACTCCCCCAAAAAAAAAGAAATCAAAGAACTAATAAAGTAACCATACCTACAGATATGCAACCATTCAAGATGAATGCAGAAAATGCATTAGACGTTGATAGGTACGTTTAAGTACCTATGTAAGAAACTTTGTTATTTAAGAATATTAATTATAATATGTCTAGGAATATCAAATCTCAAGTTGAAGATTTGGAAATTCAAGTATTGAATTTGAATAAAAAGATGGATCTGAATTTAGATTCAAAGTTAGTACTTTTATTATTAAATTCATCTATACCAAATAGATTAGATATTTTGTAATGTTTCATGTACTAAATGTAGGTGTATAAATATATATCTATGGCCTTCAATTCAAAATAATTTAGTAGTTTTATACTTATCATAAATAATACATATTGTTTTGAAAGATAAAATAATTACACTCGGGGGTTAAGGATTTCAAATTGTTTGAAAATGGTTTATAAAACTAAAAAATATTGATTTTGGATGAGAATTTGATTTTATATTATTATTTTTACTAATTTAATCTAAAAGTAGTGCCACTCTTGAAATAGATGATACAATGTTCTTATTAGGTATTTAATTTTATAATATTAGTATTTCTAATTTCACAATTTAATATTTCATTGGATATTAAATTATTATATTTGTATAATTTTTTTTTTAGATCTGTTTCGAATTTACCTACACAATCAATTCCAAGTGTAACACTATTAGAAACTGAAAATAATTTCCTTAAGAAAGAAAATGAAGAATTGAAAAGTAAACTGTATAAGCTATCTGTTGCATTTTCTTATGAGACTATATGCAACAGTGATGAATTGGTTAATGTTTATACTGGTTTACCAAATTCAAAAGTTTTTAATTCTCTTTTTGAGTTGTTAAAAGATGTAAAATTAAATTATTTTTTGGGGTGGAATGTAAAAACTATAAGCCCTCAGGATCAATTATTATTAGCATTAATGAAACTAAGATTAAATTTACCTCATTTAGATTTATCCCAACGTTTCAAATGTAGTCGTGCT